AAGAGAGAGAGAGAGAGAGAGAGAGAGAGAGAGAGAGCATGCAATTGGCCTTTTTTTTTGGTAACAAGTAGAAAACTTTACATGATCCAATTCGACATTGTGGAGAAGTTTTCATACGCTTCGATGAAAGGGATGCATGTTTTTGTCAGCGAACGTTGCCTACTATGATCATAAACCAGTTGTTGGATTTCGAATGACAGTTTGCTGGTGTGCTTGAAAGTGCAATTTTTTTTAAATTTTTTTTATTTTTTTTCCCCCTTCTGCAATCCTTATTTTTTTTACAGTTCGTGATGGCTACAAATGTTATGCTGCCCCATGTACAAGATCAATCAGTGCTCGCATGTCGCTTCACTCAACTGCCGTATGCTGCAGGGAAAGGTGAGACATTCGAAAGAAAGCTGATACATTCAAACAAGCTGATGGCCAAAAAATGGAATCGTTTACCAAAAAAGATGATACATTCGAAAGAAAGGTCACGTTCCTAGGAATATCAAACATGCTGATGGGCACAGAACCATAAATAAAACTTCGGGATTCGTGATTTATGAAAGTTTATCCAAACACATATGAACACTTCACATGCCCTCGCACATGGCCACCGAAGAACCCATTGCAAAACATGGAAGATGGCGTTGGTCCACACTGATAAAAAAAAACAGTCTTGCATTTTGTTCTTGGCCAAAAAAACACAGGAAAGCCTCCGTCAGACCTGTAAAAAAAGACTATGCCGACGACGCACGTAACTGCAGGTGAGATCATCCCACCCGCTCACCCGACTACGGAAACCAAAAATAGGGCATGTTCAGCCATAGCCGTGGTCAAGAAAGGAACCGACACATTTTTCCCGCGTAAAAAAAAAAAACAAAACAAAACAGCCTGCAACCGGCGGTGTGCAGCTTTGAAACGCTAACCAGCAACACACAGCTACCTATACCCACTCAGGGAATCGCCCTCCATACACATACTTCTCCTCAACTGTTCAGCGATCGCCGTGACGTCACGACGGTTAATGTCCGGCGACACTACGGGCAGCGATGAAGGCGATCTCGCCTCTGCGGGCACCCACCGATGCGGATGTGTGCGCACACTCGAGTCACGTTGCATGTGACCCACCGACACTGTCACGCTGGCGACGGTTCCACCTCGCATGCGGCCAGGGCTCTGCAAAGTTGTGACAAAACTATCGGGCTCTGCAGGGGTATGGTCGGAGCCCCCTTCGTAAAGTGACAACTGGTGTTGCAGGCGGGCCACTTCCTCCCTCGGAGAAGCAACTTGTCGCTCCGCAGCTTCGACATGGCAAGCCCCTCTCTCATGTTCGCCTTCTCCAGCTCACCCTGCAGACGCTGGAGCTCCTCCACCGTAGCCGATACGCGAGTGAACAGCACCCCGCGCTTACGGGCCAGCTCATGCGCTTGCTCGATGAGCTGCCTGTGGGTCAGCGCGAAATCTCCGGCCATGTCCACAACCTCGCCAACACCGCGCATCGGAGAAGACGACATTTTGCCAAGTGTCGTGCGCGCTCTCTTTCACGAATCCTGCAAGAAAGCCATCAGGAATCGCACACGCATACGGACTTTGGTCAGATTGAACCGCCGCTGTCCTGCACCCGTACGGAGTGCTGACCGAAAAAAAAAATGGAAAAAAAATAAAATAAAATTCAAAAGAAGTGCACGTCTCGGACATGCAGCCGATCACTTCGTGTGCTCCAAGCATGTGATCAACGGCCATCTTCCTGGCGACCGCCACGTTCGCAATGTGTCCCGCCCCCTGGAGGAACAAATGGCGGTTGTCCCACCATCGCATTTGAAAGCATAGCGAAGCATTGCAACAGTGTTTGGTTACCCTCGACCATGGTCTTGTTCATTCCGTCCATGGCCTGTGCAAAACTCCCCGCGATCCTCTCCGCATGATGGTCGTTCGCGTCGACAAGAGCATGTGCAATGTTTGCGAACGAACCTCCCCTTGAAGCGTCACTCGAGCTCTCTGCCGCGGAACGCTGTTTGTGGCCGCTCACACCCGCGGTCCGTCGAGACTTGTAACCCTCAACGCTGTTAGTATCCGCTTTTCGTCGACCCCCTCCACTCTCACTAGTGCCGCCAGTGTCTTCATCATCTGTGACCGTGCTCGTCTGCCCTCTCTGCAGATTGACACTGTGCATCAGGTCCTCGCACGAACCGTCCACCTTCCCTAGCTTGCATTGCAGAGCTTCAAACATGTGTTTTTCGTATGTCAACGGAAGGCCATTCTCCTTTTTCTCCGAACGCGACATGTCCCAATAGCTCGGCTTCCCTGATTCGCCGCTGTAATCACGGATCTTTTTTGCTTTGTCAAGGAGGGCGTAGTACTTTCCCTCGCAGTCCTCCACGTCACGTTTTGGAAAGCCTTGCTCAACCATTTTCCCTATTATCCAGTCGTACTTCTCCCGTCTACTCCTGATCTTCTGCCTCCCTCGCCTGCTTTGCTGTGCGCAGTCCTCTTCGAAGAGCAGCCTCACAAGCGCCATGCTCTCCTTGTCTGTCCACTCCGGCATTCGCTCTTTCGCCTTCGCCTTGCTCTGTCCCCTACGACTCCCCCCGTCCTCCCTGACGGCCCTTTTCCCACTTCCCGCTGGCGGAGTTGCATCGCTGCAGTGCGCACCGCCTTCGTCGTCTGCGACCTCGACAGTCGCAGGTCTTCCACTTTGTGTCCCAGCGATATCCATCGCAGGTTCAGTGAAAGCGCCACCAAACGCCCCATCGATGACGGGCTCCTCTACACTCGAATCATGAGAATGGTTGGGCATGGGGACATCGGAGTTGTTGACGTTGGCATGCGGGCCAAGCATAGAAGCGGCACCACGGTTGACACCGGGATCTGAAGAGTACACGTTTTGTGGGCGAATGTGATTGGTGGTCGGTGGGGAGTGTGAAAAAGATGGCGAAGTCCGACCCTCCATCGGTGTGTACGTGTTTGGTGAACCCTCACCCACCCCTCCCGACATGGAGTGCGCACCCACCGGTGGAGGACCGCTTTGTGGCCGCTCCCCGTTCGCCCCCATCCTGAACCCGTCACGTGGAAACCCACAGTCACGTCCCACCCCCCAGTTTGGATATGCTGTTTGAACGTCTGCATCCAATCTCCCTGCTCCTCCATATCACGGTGCTCCAAAAATGTCACCTTCGGCAAGGAGAGAGGTCATACTTCGTGGCTCTTTCTCGGGACTGTACACCGGAGCGTGCAAATGCTTGAAATTCGGCAATGGTGGCAAGCCTATCGGCAGTGACGTGGCAACGCGTGCCACACCCGCAGGTCTTGCACCTGCTGAGAAACCTTGGAAACCCGGACTGCCAATGCCCGCAGTGGATGGCGTTACTTCCACGAAGCCAGTGTCCATGGGAGCAGGCGAAGGAGATGGTGATCGTCTATGCACAGGCAGTCTAGAGTGATCCATACCTTATACGAATGCTGTCAGCAGACGTAGCTTGCTCGATGAGCCGCCGACGATGGCCTCCACTGTATAGAACTGGTGAAGAACGCCAAAGCCAAGGAAGAGAGCTCGCGGCTATGTACACTCCGGAAACATGCCACCTAGAGGAATGCGACGGATCGATCCTACAAATGGCGGAAAATGCAACTTTCATGGTGTATCACATGAATGGCGACGTGGCGAACAGAGGTGGGAATAGCATTGGCAGTCCGGAAACATGCCACGTGGAGGAATGCGACGGATCGATTCGACAAATGGCGGAAAATGCAACTTGCTTGGAGTAGCAGATGAACGACAAGGTGGCGAAATGCGGATGAATATATGTGGATGCAGAAAGACGCCATGTGGCAAAATGGCGGGAGATGGCGGGAGACTGCCGGCGATGTTGACAGCAAGCGCCACCGTATGCCCCACGGAATGCCACCAACTACGAAGACATGCAAAGCGCTGGAGAGCGTCGAGCTATTACCGATAGGCGATGGCGGGAGATGGCAGGGGAGCTACCGTTGCTTTGGCCGCCAGCTCCGCGCGAAGAGGGAACGCGCACTGCCAGGGCGTGGCTGCACACGGGATGGGCACTGCCGAATACAAACATCAGGTCCTCGCACGGCCGTAAGGTGTGCCATACCGGACCGACTAGCCCTCTTCAATTCAGCAGCTGGAATTTTCAGCGACCGGGCCCCGTCTGCCTGTGAGGTGGGACATCGGCAGGCCGCATGGCACTGCGGCCGGTTCAAACCCGTCGCACAACGTTGTGGCCAGGCGGACGTTCCAAGTGCCTCTTGCGGACATGTAAAAAAAAAAAAAAAAAAGGAAAACCCCGCCTTCTTTTTCGGGGAAAAGACGGGGTCGTCTCCCTTTCCGTTTTCAAAAGAACTTTCTGGCCTGCAAACGCGGCCGGCTCGACACGTCCACTTCCGCTTCCACATCCGCGAGAAAAGAGGGCCCTCTCCGCCCTCTCCGCCCTCTCCGCCTCATGCGGAAAGAGGAGGGATCCCAAAAAAGGCCGTTTCTTGCCAAAAAAACCATATTTTTCTTTACTTTATCTCATTTTGCCTGATAGTACGCACCACAGTTGTGGTGCCAACCTGCCCTATGGGCTAGGGAGGGATCCGGGTTGGTTGGTGTTCCCCCATTGACCATAACGGATGTGAGTGTGAGCGCGAGTGGGTTGTGTGTGGTGTGTGGGAGAGTGTTGGCCATAGCCTCTGCTGCTACTCGATGAAGGGTGGGGGACGATGAGAAAGGGAGGCACAGCTACTGGCAGGTCTCGGTCTTTGTGTTAGCCAGACCCCCACTGGCGGCCCCAACCCTATACCCTAACCACTAGGGGCAAGGGACAACATGAAATCTCACCTTCACAGAGAGAGGAAACTATGCTTGCAGGGGTCCCCTCTAAATAGTCTTAGGAGTAGGTGGTGGAAGGTAAAGAAACAGAAGTTGAGAGACGAGTATAGAATAAAAGAAAAAAAGAAAAAAGAAAAAAAGAAAAAAGAAAAAAAAAGAGGAGTGGTTTAAGCGCCTGAATCTAGGAATGCCGATATTAATCGCGATTATCTGCATCTCTCCAATAACAAGTCCAGATTCGGGAGTTAAATGCAAGCCTGTTAACTATTGGCAATTTGGCACTGCGCGCGTGAAATAGGGGACGAGACGCGGGTGTTGTGAATCGACGGCAGGGCAGTTCGAGACCCCGAGGATAAGCGAGACATGCGAAGCCGTCGTGATGAACACACACGGCACGCCGAGGACGACCAAACGTGGCCCCGCGTGCGCCTTGCGCGCGAGAAACAAGAGAGAGAGAGAGAGAGAGAGAGAGAGAGAGAGAGAGAGAGAGAGAGAGAGAGAGAGAGAGAGAGAGAGAGAGAGAGAGAGAGAGA